GCCAGTTGGACTAGAGCCCTAGTCAGATTCAAGCAAATATTTGTTATCAGCCAAAAGCTCATCAGGTTCGCTTGGTTCCATGGTTCAAATCTAATTTAGTGAAGAAAGATACTTTCCAACCATGAGTTCGTTAACTAATTCTGCATGATAGTGCTCAAGGAGCTAATGGAGAACGGCGTATTTGAAGAAACAGCAGAACTATGGTGAGATCCAAAGGGTCCTTTTCATTGTACAAAGAGTTGAATATGAAGCACCAAATGAACAACAAAATAAGCATGAACATACAGTTTGATATAGAGGAAACCACCATTGAAAACTCAAACCAACCTCATATTTTGAACAGTTTATCCACCTTGACAGCGCTGACCATCTACATTCAAGATTTCAACACAAATCAGAGCCTCACTGAATTAATGTGATGACCTTTTTATTTTATGCATCAAAATTTTCCTTGCAATAATGTAATTGAGAGTGTCCTTCCGTCATCAACAACAATATATATTTACTAGTAAAATCCTCAAGTAGAGGCTAAACTGCTAAAAATAACTCTTTTCTGCACTATTTCTATCTTTCATCCCAATAATGAGGATCTGAGATTGCTTATTTGGTAACTATAAGCAACTTTCACACTCTATTCTGATTAGCTATTTGATACTCTAATAGGCAGCATTCTCGTTAAGGCATAAAGTAATTTGAAGCAATAAAATATAGGTACCATATTTGTAACTTTTGGAAGGTGTTTATTTATTATCTAATCAATGTACTTATTTACCTCTTACATTATCTTTATGCCATTCATTCCATCTCGTCTTCAATATTTACTTCATTGTTATATAGCAAAATATATATTACACTATTCTTTTTCTTATCCAGCATTGAAGATTTACATGTATAAATTGCTATAGATAATTTGATTGAAATGATTTATTTTAAAAAAATAAAGTATAATTGAAATAAAAGAATTTATTTAAGAAAACTACTATACTTGTTAAAATTAAGAGCAATATTAATCTAGATCATAATATATTTTGCATTAAATATATATTCATTAAACTTAACAACTATTTTTTATAAGGATTGTAATATGAAAGGATTAAGCAGAACTTTAGAAAGGTTTTAAGTTTCCTGAACTCTCGAGACCAAAAGATTCTCTCTTAATGATTCCTTAGTCCATATTTAAGAGATAAAGATTCTCTTTCAACAAGCCCTTCCTCGTTGTTCAGTATAAATTAAAATCGTAGAAGATCCCTCAGACACCTTAACTCTAATTTGATTTTACATTACCCAGACTGGTAACCAGATCCAACCTGGGGACTATTTGGGTACCAAAACAGGTAGTCATGAGAGATTCCAGCACTCGAAACGTTCTTGAAGATGTATCAGAAGGACTATGTGCTGCACTAGGTTGAGGTAGAGCAAACTATGACAGCTTATGAGACATAACTAACAAGAAGTTGTACGAGCTTTCTAAAGAGTTTTCAGGTGCCCACATATTACATTGGAAGGAAAAAGTAGTGCTTGTAAGGGAAGAGATGAAGAGTGGCCAGGAGCTGGACTGGGAAATGATCAAACCGATGCTAGTCATATGGTACCAAATATTCAACACAACTGATCAGGCTATAATACCTCATAACAACACTATTTGGTACTAATTGGGACTTCCAATTCCAATGATTACAGGACAGACTCACTACAAATTTTGGTACATCTGCAATATTACAAAATATACAAAAGTTTGAAACAGGGAAATTCCCTTTAGCATTAAAAGAAGAAATTATTCTGGTTATGTAGAAGAAAACAAAAACTGAGGCAAGAGCCACTTGCAGATTCCTTAGCTGCCTTGATATCAGCAAGGTATTTTCGGAAAATTCCACAACCAAAGGGTGCATTATGTTTTCAACTTCATCCACAGGACAACCTCTGTATTTAAAATAATCTGTCATTTCAATAGTTTTTTGGACTATACCTTTTAGTTAAAAAAAAAAAAAGTTTTTTGGACTGTTTCTTTTACACCCAGTTCATTCTCAATCAATACAAGCCAGAAAGAAGGTGATATTAATTAATTTATTTTAAACTTTTCCCATTAATGTAGTTGTTCAAAATGTATGTGCTATTTCTAGTTTTTGTTCATTATTTTTGCATTTTTTACGCGGTTATTATTTGTGTAGTTGCATGGTTTTATGGCCATCTTGTGAGAGGTTATTGGTGTAATCAGAGTAGTTTTATTTGCTCATGTAGTAGGCTAATTTTCTTCAGTTGTAGTTAAGCATAGCCATTATTGGTTGTTTTGGGAGTGAAAGGATTAAGCAAAATTTTTAATAAGTTTCAAGTTTACTGAACTCTAGAAATTGAAGAGTTCTCTTTCAATGAGCTTACCAATTGTTCAAGATAAGTCATAAGGAAAGAAAATCTCTAAAACACTCTACCCCTTGGCCAAATATGATTTTAACTTCTCAAAATAGGGTTGGGGCAGGACTCAAATTCTAGATTTTCAGCTCCAGTAATGGAGCCTCATGCTATCTAAACTACAAACTCCTAGCAATCTTATCCTTCGAGACTCATAACAGATTTGCATCTAAGGACCACAACTGATTAATTTTATGTTATAAGCACATTTCCTGCAGCAAAATACCAAACACTCTCAACATTTCTGCTTTTTACGAAAACAATAAAAAAATATTTTATTCCTTTAAATGATGCCTAATTATTCTCGTTTGCATAATGTAACAGTGATGAACCTGCGAGGATCATAAATTGTTACTGTACGATCAGCTCCTCCTACAGCAATATTACCAGTGAAAGAACTGCAGACTGAATAGATAATATCACCAACTGAACCACAAATTCGCTGAATGCAACCACCGTTTTCTCTCACTCTCAAGTCCCATATAGTCAGCTGCATGATGTCAAAAAAATAAGGTGTAGGACATAAGCTAAAGGAGAAACAAGAGCAAACAATGGAAAATAAACGGCTTATCTAAAATGTTCAAGCCTAGAGAAGAACGATTCTAAACCTGACAGCCCTCAGCAACAGCCAGCACGGAACTTCCATTCCCATGGCCTAAAGTCTGTATGAAGTTCAATGAAGATGGATAGGAGAGCCTGAAATTGATCAAATAAAAAAATAGTATGTAATCTGTATAGGATGACAACTAAAGATTGATTATGAAATAAATTCAAAAAATTTCATTCCATTTAGTTGAAATGCAAGGCTTTCAGCAGCATAATCACCAAGAGGTTTGCTCTTCTCAAAAGAAAACAAAAGAAGTAATTCCATAATTTTTAATGTTTATCTTTCAGAACAAAATAAACCGCAGGCAGCAGGAAACAGATAGCATGATGCAATAGTCAGATTATCTCTGATTCCAGATCTGATCAAATACATTCTGAAATGTCCAAAAGCAGATTAAAAATTTATTGCAAAGAACAAGTGCACAGAAAAAAAATTGATCACCAGATCCTTATCTCAAACCCTCCATATTCAAGTCACCAGTTTGATTATAGCTGCTGATTAAGGTTTTTTTTTTACTTGTATAACATTACCAACAAAAGAATCCCAAACAAACATCATCCATATGCAAACAAGTGCACACAAATTACCATTTCTAGGTATAAGAGCATTCAACATTGAACAAAAAAAAATACTCACGTACGTAAGGCACGGAGGTGGATATCTTGATCATAAACATCAATGCTTTTGCAGAAGCTACGAGCCACTGCCACCTGAAATTAGAGAGCAACAGGTAGATAGCTAAATGTTATGAAATTAAAGGGAAATGGCATGGAATTTAGCCTTTTCTCCTTTCATGACTAATACAAAATTCCATACTCTGGCTTGCATGTGGTCTAAACACATTCTATTTTCATTCAGTTCCTATATCTTAGTTATTAGATACATATATATATATATAGGAGAAAAATATCAGTTAGATTCCTCATATCAATGTTAGAATATAGTGGACGACCGCTTAACAAAAATCTCAAGTTCTGAAACCAATAATCCTTGAATTTCTCGTACTTTATTTTCACAACATAGAGTCGCGTCTAGAGAGAGTGAGCGTCTTCGCGTTGTGGTTTTCCATCGTCACCACTCCAAAGGTTGGGTCATGGTCGTGGGGCTAAGGAGATTCTTGTTTGTTGAGCAAAAATCTTTTGACGTTGTAGGGGACGGAAAGGGGATAAGGATTTTTGAGAAGGGTAAGGGTTTTCGGAAATCAATCTTCTTTCAGAAGGAGGAGTTGAAGTGGTTGATGAAATGATTCAGGGAGTTCAAATGGGTGAAAGGGGAGGTGGCATGGGAGAGGAGTCAGAGCAATAGCTAGAGGACGTGGTGGAAGGCATTGAGTAGTAACAGACGAGGGCATTTTTTGGTGTTTTCCGAAGGGAAGGAGGGACCAAGGGGGAGGATTAATAGGATTTTTCTACCAAAGGGATACAAGGCCGATGGATGGTGGCAGATGATGGAGGTGATTCATGAGGTGTTTGGTGTCAAGTTGGTGCCTCTAGAATGGGCTACGAAAAAGAATGATCTAGTTGAAAAAAGACTGGTTATCCACCACAATATAATGCCATCAAAGGTTAGATGTCCGGGATGCAGCATGGAGTTGGGGGTGCAACTGGAGCCAATGGAATGCATTTCGTTTGCCAAAGCCCTAAAGCAAGCAGAGAGAGCTACAAATCGGGTGGAGGAGAGGAGATTCGAACCCATTGCTGGACCTGAGTTTTTTCAAATTCAAAAAGGTATCTCCCAGGAGGGAGCGAAATGTAGTCATTTTGGGTGTAGTGGAAACAACAATGTTGTTGTCGTGTTGACGGGGATAAGATGGAAGTTGGACTGAAAAAGAGCGGAATGGACCTGAGGGAAGGTTCGATTGAAGTAACTGAAGTGGGCAGCAAACTTCCGTTGGCTGAAAAGGGTAAATGGGTAGTGAATGATGCATAGGTTGGACCTCTAGAAGACCTCAGCTCAGGCCTCGTACCCTTAGGGGAGCTGGAGGAGGAAAAAAGCAATTTTTGGCCCGATGTGGAGGAGAAGAGAAGTGGATAAAAGGGAGACTGTCCTGCCCTAAAGCCCCCGCTCAACTTATGAATTCAGCGTTTTTGTTTTCTGCAATTGATATCAGGAGTTGCTGAAGCTCCTTCGACGACTTCCTTCACTTCAAGAGGTGGAGATGGTGGGGAGAGCTGCAGGTTTGGTGAGGGAAGTGGAGGAAATTTTTGGGTTTGGAGGAGATGATTGGGGAAATAGCAACGAAGATAGGAGAGAAATTGAGGTGAATGAGGGGAGAGAACTGCAATTGATCCAACTGTTAGAAGAACCAATGGAT